TTGGCTTACAGAAACAACTCCGTTTGACTCCAGCTTGTTTCTTGACTCCAAGTGACATCTTTGTGCTCCAAGAACTGGATTCATCATTACTTTCCAACCCCAGTGCCCAGTATTGAGACTTCAGCCAGTACTGAACTCCCTGCGGTACCTCTCTCTGTCCCTGTCTTCGAGTAGGGACCAGACTTGCTGGTACCATGGAGTGAAGGCAGATTATCACCATCTTCTTCAGCACTGAGGGTTCACCCACTGAATCCAGGCCTCAAATTCTTGGTGTTGGAAGAGCATTATGGCAGACACCCATCCCTGGGCTATATACACACCAAGGGGTCCTTGCGTGATTTGAGCCTAAGTGGAATATTGGGAGTCTCCAGGGTATCTCACCACTCCCATTTGAGAGAGTACTCTCCCTACTTCTCCTGTTACTCAGCACCATGGCTTTGCACCAAGGAGGTATGATATCCTACAATAACAATATTGGGGAGCTCCAGGGAGGAGGAAGAGCATCCTCAGCTTCTATAAGATATGTAACTATTTAATTACAGGAGTTGTAAGAAGGTGCCAGACTCACTAGAAACTCCACTAAAAGAGGTCCAGGAAGCCCCGTCCAGACTGCTGGACATCCTTCATAGGTCTAAGTAGAGTGGTGCTTCCTATTAAGGAGACAATCCTTGGATCCACCAAGATACTTTGGTAGGTGTCTGCTCTGGTTCTACTAGTAAGTAGGGTCAAAAGTGGTATTTCATACCTGTGAAAAGGTTGGAGTACCTATTGTCTCCCACCTCCCAACTCAATGGTGGTGTTCAGCAGCCACTGAGTGTAGCAGACAGAAAGAAGCCAGGTCTACACTGAATGGGAAAGAAGCAAAGAGACTTGACCTCTCTGGGAGACAGGTGTATTCCCTGGCCCCTCTGCAGTTTTGCATCTCAAACTGTCAAAGGTTGATGGCCAAGTACAATTTTGCCATGTATGACAAATTAGCTGTCTTCGCTGATAAGGTGCCTCAGGCTGTTTAGAGGCCTGTTCCAGGCCCTGACTGACAAGGAAAAGCAGGTGACAAGATCGGCCCTTCAGACAGCCTAAGACATGGCAGCTAGGTCTATGCGATTACTATGGTAATGAAATGCTCATCATGGCTCACCTTGGGAATCCTGAAGGAAGTACAAACAGGTGGAGGACCTTCCATTTGAGCATGATCAGCTGTTAAGTGTGAAGTTGGATGAGTCTCTTCACTCATTGAAAGACTCCCAAGCTACACTTTGATCATGGGGTATTTACACATCTGCAAATAAAGGAAAACCCAGTAAGCTGCAGTTTAAACAACCAGTCCCACCAGCTTTTTCTCACCAGCAACAGTATCAACTGCCATGCAATCATCAAAGGATGCATAGAAGGGTGCCCATGGACAATCTTACTTTCTTTACTTTTCTTTTCTTTTTACAATCTTTTCCAGCCAGCACTTTGATGGGACCTCTTGAGAGCTGTGCATCAACTGTCTCACCACACCTGATAAACCCTTCTGGTATTTCTCCTCCCTTTGCAGGCCGACTTGCCAACTTCCTGTCTGCCTGGACGCAAATCACAATGGACAGATGGATGCTAGAAGTCATCTCTTCAGGATACACCATCCGGTTCTGGGTGCCATTCAATTTCCCCACCTCCAACGAAAATTTTGATCATGGGTGCATCCCACTTAGTTTGGGGAGCGCTTGTGGAAGAGCAGGTTGCTTAAGGGAAGTATCAGGAGTCTATGCTTCACATCATGTTGAAAATGAGAGGAGTCAGACTGGCCTGCAAGCAATTCCTCCCTCACATCCGTGGCAAGTCAGTCCAGGTGTTGTTGGACAGCATAATGGCAGTTTATTATATCAACAAGCAGAGAGAAGCAGCTCTGGTGCAGTCTCATGCAGATTACCCTGACTGACGTCCATTTGTCTGGCATCCAGAACACTCTGAACTACTCTTAAAGCAAACATTTCTCCACAGAATGAGATTGGGATCACTGTACGGGGAGCTGCTCCCCCATCCGTCCAACCCCTGTGCATCTGGACCTCCTATACCCAGACGCCCCTGCCAAGCCTCACCCAGAACACCCTTAGTCCTCCATATCTGAACCCCACCCCATTGAACCTCAGCCCCTCCAATTGGAGCCCCATGCACCCAGACTCTTTGCCTCCAGACTCCCACCCCTGCACCCAGATGACCCCCACTCAGCTCCCTGCACTTAAACCCCCACCCGCTGCACCACCCTGAGCCCCCACATCCAGACCCCATGCCACTGATCCCCCAATTAGCTGCACCCTGACCCCCACTCCTCCAGCACACAGACCCCTCCACTGAGCCCCAACCACTTTCACCTGGAAGCCCCTGCAGAGTCCCATTGCTCCTGCACCGAGAACCCCCCCCTCCCCCATGAGAGCCTCCGTGCATTCAGATCCCCCCACACACACCTAGATTCCCCACTGAGCTGCCTGCAGAATCCTCTCACCTCACACCTGGATACCCCCCACACTGAGCCCCACCACACTTGGATCCTGCTTGGTTGAGCCTGCCTGCCCCACACCTGGTGCGCATGGCGCAGAGGACCGGGGCCCCAGGGTGTTTCTGGGGCAGCCCAAGGCCTTGTGCTGTGTCAGGGTAGGGTGCAGCCTCACCACTGAGTCCTTGTCTCTAGGGTGAGGGGGGTGGGGAGGCTGCAGGGTGATCTCCCATCTTTGTGCAGCCAGGGGCCTGTGCTCCCCACTGCCATGCTGGAGCCTCTGCATTTATTTATTGAGACATAAAATTTTGCAGAATTTTAAAATATTGAGCTCAGAATTTTTAATTTTTTGGCGCGGAATGCCCTCGGGAGTAATCTCTCTACGAAGGTAGCATTTTTGGTCACTATCATGTCGGCCAGAAAAATTGGGGAATTAAGGGTGCTCATGGCAGATCTCCTTTATACAATCTTCCACAAAGGCATGGTAACCATGAAACTTCATCCAAAGGTTGTCCCAAAGGTGTATTCTATGGGAGTTAATAGACATTAACCAAAGTATTGACTTACTGGTGTGCTATCCTAAACATCAGTCTAGCAGGGAACTGGTGTGTCACTCACTGGATGTGCATAGGTCTCTTGCCTTTTAGCTGTAAAGGACTACATCATTTTGAAAGTCTCTTAGGCTCTTTATATCACTTGCAGAATGAATGAAAGGAGAGGCCATTTCCTCCCAGGAGCTGTCAAAATGGATTTTGGGATGCATCCTACTCTGCTACATGATGAACTGTCCCTTTGAAGGCAGTGTAAGAGCACATTTGACTAACGCTCAGAAAACGTTGGTAGCGTCCCTTAGAGACATCCTATTACTGATGTCTGCAGAGCAGCAACTTGGAGTTCCATACGCATAGTTCTAGACGCTATGCACTGGTGCAAGTAGCTGCCTGTGGTGCTTCTTTGAGCAGCCAGTTCTGCAATCTGTTGCATTATATTGCCCCATGCACCCTCCTCATTGAGAGAGACACTGCTTGTGAATAATGTGGAGTACCCTATGCATAGGGACAATCACTCGAAGAATATGGGTTACTCATCTTGTAGTAACTTGAGTTCTTCAAGATGTGTAGTCCTTATGTGTAATGTACTACTCAACCTTCGCCTTCGCTGCCTGGTTTCCCCCAGTGTGAATAGCAGTAGAGAAGGAACTAAGAGGGAGTGGTCCAGCACCGCCCTTTATCCCCTCAGTGAGGAGAGCGAGGGCACATGCACACACCAGACAGGCACTGCTTGGGCAAAATCTCCAGTCCTGGGCTCATGGAGCGCATGCGCAACCTGAAGTGCACTACATATAGGGACAACACATCTCGAGGAATTAAAGTGATCACAACATGAGTAACTCATCCTTTTAATTTTATTAATGATAATTTTTGTTGAGGAGGAAAACTTAAGGCAATATTCAGTTGATTCAATTACGAATGGGAAACATCTGGTAACTGCAAATGTCATTACTGGTTGATTGTTTTTTTTGTTGCCATGATTGTTACTTCTACCATCTGAGAAGGAAAAAAGTCTCAATGTGTAGCATTCAAATAGGAAGTATGTTAATGCATTTTGGAGTCTGATAATTCTCTGCAGCTCTTTGATTTCCTTCTCCCTTATCCCCACTAATGGTGCCATTTTGGGTGTGGTGCTTGAGGAAATGTCTGTGTGAGTGAATGTATTTTTCAGAGTTGAAAGACCTCTTTTCCACTTTCTCTCTCTCCTCCCCCCAACCCCAAGCTGCAATCAGAGGGGATATTGTGATTGTTTATGGAATTATATTAATTTTAGACATCTGCTTGGGCATAATTTTAAAGCCTGCCTGAATTTGACTAGACCACAGCCAATCTGAACCCTAGCCCAAGTGTGTTGAGTTGTTTTCATACCTGATCCAAATACTAATAGTCGGCTCTGTCGGGTTTGTGTCAGATTGCAAAGGTCTATTCACCAACCCAGACTCCATTTTCTTTACTTTGTTTCCTTCAGTGGAACTGGGAGGACAAATTACCCACCCTGCTCCAGTCCAGTGAGTCAGTTCCCCACTCCTTTGGGCCACTGCCTCATCCTTCCGTCTTGGCCTGGCTGCTCCCCACATCCTGTATCTGTCATCTATCTCCAGCCACCTTCTGCGCATAGGGCTGGTGTGGTGACAGCTGAATGCCCCATTCCAGCCAGCCACCATCACTTCACTGCTAGGTCTGTGCTGTGGAGTGAGTGTGCTGACAAGTCTCCGCATTTCTTATTCTGCAGTGTACAAATGCAAGAAGGTTCCAGCGTTGGGCAGGAGTGGGGTATACAACCATCACTGCACCAAAGCCACAAGCAGGAGGAGGTGATGAGAGACTACCGGACCTGAGCCCAAAAGTGTCAGGCTGTCTTCAATTCAACCTGAACCCAACACTTGTAGTCAAGTCCCATTGAGTTTGAGTCAGGTGTTTGTATGTGGTATTGTTGAATGTATTTTAGAAGTATATACTTTTTTGTTTTACAGAAATGGCTCAGGGATCAATCAGCAGTGTATATGTAACAACATCATCAGGTTCCACTTCAGAGGTCACTAGATTTTCTGCCAGGTAAGTTAATACATAAATTAGCTTTAGCCTGTATTCCATGAGCTGTTCTGTCTCTAGTTCTGCTTCAGCTACATGGTAAACCTGGTGTATCAGATTTTTTTTTTTTAAGGTAATTCTGAGAGAGGTATTATTTTTGCTATAATTACTGGTATTTCTAACCAGTGCCCATCTACCTCTTGGTGAGCAAATGGACCATCACTTGAAGTAGTACGGCAGCTACCTCCTTTTGACATCTTCATATAAGTGAATTGTGGTTAATATATGATGAGCTAAGCAGTAACCTGTCACAAAACGGGGAAATAAATTAGCTAGACTAGGATTAGTATAGAATAGTTTAGGTTTTAAGTTTAGAGAAGGACTTTGCGACACAAAGATACTATCTGGGCAGGATTCTCGTTTGGTCATGGCTCCCTAGCACGAGGTAGGAAGAACTTAATTTCTTTGCTCATTGACAGCAACAGTAGTGGGCAGTTACCCTCTTTATGCACCACTGTAGACATTTACCCGCTCTGAGCTTGCCCATTCCCCCTCTCTTTCTTGCTCATGTTATGGGTATTAGCTTAGTCTTTGCTGCCTCTTGTAGCAAACATGCTATATTTAAGACACCTGTGCAAGAGCTCTAGGTGGCCTTACATTTAATCTTACAATAGAGTAATACACCAAGCAGCATTAAAAAGCAAATATTGAAAAGGGGCAAATTAACTCAATGTAGCCAGCCAGTGAATTAGATACAGAAGTGTCATTTCTAACCCCCATTGTCTCGAAGATCATCCGTTCAGCCTTCTCCAAAAGCTCTATCAAATAAATGGCTTTTGTTGCACGCACAGAAGGTCACCGGATTTGGATTGTTTTGGACGAAGGAGGGTGAGGGGAGCAAGTTCCAGAGTCCCTTGACTATTTCCGTACCTTGAAGTCCTTCTACCTACAGGGACGAACCTGAACTGCCCACGGCACCCCCTCACCAACACACACACCCTGTCGCTCTCTCCCTCTCTCTCTCTTACGGTATGGAATGGACCAGCATGATTGCAATCCCCAGGTTGTGATTCCCTCTTTCAGGACATGTCTTAATTCACTTGCTTTCCACTAGTTGAACATCCTGTGTTGATAGGATACCTTTTGACAGCGGAAAATTTAAATCTGTGATTCTTTTTCTCTGAAGATACCATTCTGGCAGCTTTCTGTCTCTGTCACCTTACCTCGGAGTTTGAAAGGAGAACTGTTTGTGGGCATGGTACCTGGCTTTATTGCTCTGTTACATTAAAGCACTAAGTTTTCAAATAGTTTTGTTAGTGGATGGGCTTATTTTTCTTTTACTGCATGTTCAAGTCAGGATTGGACAGTTCCAAGGGAAATGATTAAGCTTTGGGGTGATTCAGATAATCCAGGAAGTTTTTGGAAAGTGTAGGGGACAATTTCCTGGTGCAAGTGCTGGAAGAACCAACTAGGGGCAGAGCTCTTTTTGACCTGCTGCTCACAAACAGGGAAGAATTAGTAGGGGAAGCAAAAGTGGATGGGAACCTGGGAGGCAGTGACCATGAGGTGGTCGAGTTCAGGATCCTGACACAAGGAAGAAAAGAGAGCAGCAGAATATGGACCCTGGACTTCAGAAAAGCAGACTTTGACTCCCTCAGGGAACTGATGGGCAGGATCCCTGGGATAATAACAAGAGAGGGAAAGGAGTCCAAGAGAGCTGGCTGTATTTTAAAGAATCCTTATTGAGGTTGCAGGAACAAACCATCCCAATGTATAGAAAGAATAGTAAATATGGCAGGCGACCAGCTTGGCTTAACAGTGAAATCCTTGCTGATCTTAAACACACAAAAAAGAAGCTTACAAGAAGTGGAAGATTGGACAAATGGCCAGGGAGGAGTATAAAAATATTGCTCAGGCATGCAGGAGTGAAATCAGGAAGGCCAAATCACACTTGGAGTTGCAGCTTGCAAGGGATGTTAAGAGTAACAAGAAGGGTTTCTACAGGTATGTTAGCAACAAGAAGGTGGTCAGGGAAAGTGTGGGCCCCATACTGAATGGGAGAGGGAACCTAGTGACAGAGGATGTGGAAATAGCTAATGTACTCAATGTTTTTTTTGCCTCTGTCTTCACGAACAAGTTCAGCTCCCAGACTACTGCACAGGCAGCACCGTATGGGTAGGAGGTGACCAGTCCTCTGGGGAGAAAGAAGTGGTTCAGGACTATTTAGAAAAGCTGGATGAGTACAAGTTCATGGGGCTGGATGCACTGCATCCGAGGGTGCTAAAGGAGTTGGCGGATGTGATTGCAGAGCCATTGGCCATTATCTTTGAAAACTCACGTCTATCAGGAGAGGTCCCGAATGACTGGAAAAAGGCTAATGTAGTGCCCATCTTTAAAAAAGGGAAGGAGGAGGATCCAGGGAACTACAGGCCAGTCAGCCTCACCTCAGTCCCTAGAAAAATCGTGGAGCAGATCCTCAAGGAATCAATTTTGAAGCACTTCGAGGAGAGGAAAGTGATCAGGAACAGTCAGCATGGATTCACCAAGGGGAAGTCATGCCTGACTAACCTAATTGTCTTCTATGATGAGATAACTGGCTCTGTGGATGAGGGGAAAGCAGTGGGCGTGTTATTCCTTGACTTTAGCAAAGCTTTTGATACTGTCTCCGACAGTATTTTTGCCAGAAAGTTAAAGAAGTATGGGTTGGAGGAATGGACTATAAGGTGGATAGAAAGCTGGCTAGATCGTCGGGCTCAATGGGTAGTGATCAATGGCTCCATGTCTAGTTGGCAGCCGGTTTCAAGCGGAGTGCCCCAAGGGTCGGTCCTGGAGCCGGTTTTGTTTAATATCTTTATTAATGATCTGGAGGATGGTGTGGACTGCACTCTCAGCAAGTTTGCAGATGACACTAAACTGGGAGGAGTGGTAGATACGCTGGTGGGTAGGGATAGGCTACAGAAGGACCTAGACAAATTAGAGGTTTGGGCCAAAAGAAATCTGATGAGGTTCAACAAGGACAAGTGCAGAGTCCTGCACTTAGGACGGAAGAATCCCATGCACTGCTACAGACCAGGGATCGAATGGTTAGGCAGCAGTTCTGCAGGAAAGGACCTAGGGGTTACAGTGGACGAGAAGCTGGATATGAGTCGACAGTGTGCCCTTGTTGCCAAGAAGGCTAATGGCATTTTGGGCTGTATAAGTAGGGGCATTGCCATCAGATTGAGGGACGTGATCATTCCCCTCTATTCAACGTTGGTGAAGCCTCACCTGGAGTAGTGTGTCCAGTTTTGGGCCCCACACTACAAGAAGGATGTGGAAAAATTGGAAAGAATCCAGCAGAGGGCAACAAAAATGATTAGGGGGCTGGAGCACATGATTTAGGAGGAGAGGCTGAGGAACTGGGATTGTTTAGTCTGCAGAAGAGAAGAATGAGGGGGGATTTGATAGCCCCTTTCAACTACCTGAAAGGGGGTTCCAAAGAGGATGGATCTAGAATGTTCTTAGTGGTAGCAGATGACAGAACAAGGAGTAATGGTCTCAAGTTGCAGTGGGGGATGTTTAGGTTGGATATTAGGAAAAACTTTTTCACTAGGAGGGTGGTGAAGCACTGGAATGGGTTACCTAGGGAGGTGGTGGAATCTCCTTTCTTAGAGGTTTTTAAGGTCAGGCTTGACAAAGCCCTGTCTGGGATGATTTAATTGGGGATTGGTCCTGCTTTGAGCAAGGGGTTGGACTAGATGTCCTCCTGAGGTCCCTTCCAACTCTGATATTCTATGAGAACTACCAGTGTGGGAAGGGTGGGGAATTCTTCCTGTCTTGTGCTAGGGAGCAAAAGCTTAGGATACTAAGAATACTGCCAGAATATTTTCAGAGAAGCAGAATTACAAAATTAGTAAATTTCTCCCTTTTCACCTTCAAGTTTTCACCAAGTTTCTTGTGTAATGATTGGGGCCAAAGTGAATGGGAAACCTTATATACTATAGGTCTTGAAATTTTACCAGGAATCTACTAGCCAGGGGCTCATACTAAGGTGGAGGCTGTGGATCATTAGATTGGTGAGAAAACCAATTAACTTGCTCTTTTCTTTGCACTGGACTTCTAATATGCACACTATCCTTGCAGTGTGCTGGCACCCCTCAACATTGTACCACCTTGGCTTGTTATGTCGGATAAGTTTGTAGAACCTTTTCAACCTACCTACTGAGATGGGGAGTTTCTTATACCCTCATGCATACTGGGAGAATTTGGGTCACCACACATTACCCTTTCTCACTCCATTCAATAATCTTCATTCTCAGGAGCTCAGTTTCCCAGATATATTTTTGCAAAAATGTGGTCGCTGCTGCTGCTGCTGTTAGTTATCCTGGCAGGAGCTAAACAAATCTGATTTTTCTGTGCCGTTAAGTTGTGCGGGGAGGAAGGAATCAGGTGTCTTGGGGAAGGGGAAGCCCTGTTCTCTCTTGCAGGAAGTTTAGTGTGTGTTCAATGCTCTTGAAAAGCCAGAAAATTAATGAAGTTGGAGCCTAGGTTGTCTGGTACTAAATCACTGCCTGAGCAGGATCTGGCTTTGGGAAATGTAGAGAAACTGAACTGATGTAGACACAAAAGCAATCAGATGTAGATGCTATAATATGACTAATTGCAGAAGCAGCAACTTTAACAAATAAACAACCCAAAACTACATGACAGGGTAGTTCCAGTGTGGATCTTCAATTACTACTCATGGCCCCTGATGTACCAAAAACCTGAGGGTGAGTGAAGATCATGCCACATCTGCACCCTTAGGTCTGCCAAGGGACCCTGATGGGTTGTAAGAGTCCTGACTCCCTCTCCTCCGCACCAAAGGTAGGAAAGATGAGATGAGGGGGAGTCACAAGTTGTGCTACAGAGGCATAACCTTTCACTATGCCATATGGTTGCTCAGAACCAATCCCAAACAACTGACTGGATTTTAGGGTTCAGCTGAGCACTTCCTAACTCACCAACCACATTGGAATGCACCACAGAGGACAGCAATCAGCGTGGATGCCCTGCCAATTAGCTACAAAAGAATCTACCCACTATTTCAAGTCCTTCAACAAAATATCTGACTCACTGTCAAATGTACTCCATTCTCTCGGCACTGGGGAGAGATATTTAATTCCCACATGGGAAATTGCTTTATCATCATTCTGTACTTACCAGTTTCTAAGTTCACTTCTTTCACAAGCAAATTGAACTTTTAGTATTACTACATTTAAAAAACCCCCCCAAAAAACAGCAATCACATGTCCTGTCTTGGTGTGTTGCAGTGAGGCTGTTTCTGGCACAGACTGCACTTTCTACACTATTGCTGACACATCTGATTTAAAAACAAAACTAAACTCCTGGCCGAAATCCATTTATTGCAGGAGGGGGAACAGGTTGTGTGGGTTTTTATATTATTATTTTGTTTTGTTTTTTGCTCAATGGATCCTGAAGCAACTGCTTTGGTTCTTTTATTTTTTTTTTTTTTTTTTTTCTTGTTTTTAACTTCTATAGTTGGGTTCCTTCTTTTCGGGGTACTTGTGTTCCAACTGCAAACACATGCCATTTTGGCTTTCGCCCTTTTCCTAGGCCTTTTCTGAAAAAGACTGCAGAGCATGCAACAAAAAATTGTAGATTTTGTTTGTTTTGTTTTAAATCAAAATGACTTTTCTTGTGAGATTCCAGAGCCTCCTATTTTGGCCAAGTCAAAAAATACTACAAATAAGATATTTCAGACATATTCCAGACATGTAAAAATGCATGTGAATGGTATGAAAATTAAAGTACACAGTATTATATCAAACCATTGAACCTGAGATTATGTTCAAAGGACGATCCAGAGTTGCAGTCAGTTCTTTCTTTATGGCTTTGCTTATCCCTACTTATGATTTGGCTAATTGAAAATATGACCCGATTCACTTACAAACATGTTTTCCTTCAAACATTGTTAGAAAATGTTGCTTCATATGTGAATTTGTCATTTCTCAGCTGATATTTTGTTTCCATCAAGTTTGGAAACTATACTACTAAATTGTTTGTATATGTTTTACAAACAATCCTCTTAAAATTCCACTGCATCAGATAAGTATTGCCTATATTACTGAAAAACAGAAAAGTTAATGACTTGCCCTCAACTATTCATTGAGTTAGTGGCAGAGCTGGGATTAGAACTGGCTCCTAGTCCCGTGTTCATTGAACTCTAAAGCCGCTGTTATTTTAATTCTTACATGTTTGTGTTACTAATACAATATTAGTAATATTAATGAGTGATATAACTTCAGTATTTCACAATTTATATATTTAAAATTTAACTGCTACTTAAAGTATAGGAAAGCCATATTTCTTCTGTGAAATGGTTCTGTACCATGATTATTTGTTATAGATATTGTAATTAAGGTGAACAGCGCAGTGTTCCACATTTCCAGTCTTATTTATACCATTTAGATTTGCATCACTCTTATATTTTACCCCTTTATATTCTTAAACATTGAAATACTTATCACTCTCTCTTAACAATGATACATTATCCTTACAAGTGTGTATTAATATATCTTTTATTCATATTGCATGAGGGACAGTTGGTAAGTAGTTCATCACTAGTAATCAAGGAGGATGTTAAACAACATTTGTGAGGGATAAATACTTTTAAATGAGCAGGTCTTGATAATTTTCACCCTAGAGTCCTAGAAGAATTGACTGAGGAGATTTGTCTTGTTGATGATAGATTTTAATATGTGTTGGAATGCAGAAAGGCTGGAATCACAGAAGGCTGGAAATGTGCTAATGTATCAATATTCATGAAGGGAAAGCAGCATGACCCTTGGTAATTACAGGCCAGTTACTCTGACATAATTCCCAGACAAGATAAAGGAAAAGCTGATGTGGTACTCAATAAATAGAGAATTAAAGGATAGGAATATAATTAATGCTAGTCAACATGGTTTTATTGAAAATAGGTCTTGTCTAGTAAACTTATTTTCATTTTTTGATGAGCTATAAAAAGTTTAGTTAATAAAGGTAACTAGATTTAATATTCTTAGGCTTTTGTAAGGTGTACCTTGACTTAGTACCACAGAACATTGATATTTTTTTTTTAAAGTAGCACTGTACAATATCAAGCACATCTTAAATGAATTAGCTGGTAAATTAAGAAGTGTCAGAGTGGCTGTCAATGGGGAATCATTAAATGGGAGCCTGACACTAGACAGAGTGGTAAATAACAAGGACAAGGGAAGTCAGACAGAGCAATCGGGGGTGTATTCTACCCTGTGCCACAGTGCAAACTAGAGGGGTGTGAATTGTCGAGTGCCTTAACTGCCCTGTGTAGACCTTGCAGACATGAACCAAAAAGTAATGTTAACGTGCACTGAGTACCTTTTTGTTTGTACCAGTAGGATCTCTGCGGGGCAGTGAGAGTGCAACATATTAGTGCACTCTACAGTTCATACCCCTGTTGTTCACGCTAGTTCGATTATTTGGTAAACGGTTTTTTGTTGTTGTTGTTGTTTTTTAAATACAGCTGAATGCAAGGTTATATATCTAGAAGTAAATAATGCAGGCTGTACCTACATAATGGGGGGAAATGCCTTACAGGGAGAGACTTGGAGCTCTGTTAAGTTAATCAAAAAGATCGAGATGACTTGATTGTGGATAAGTACCTTCACAGGAAGAAAATACTAGGTACTAATGAGCTCTTTAATCTAGGGAAGAAAGGCATAACAAGAACCAATGGCTGAAAGTTAAAGCCAAACAAATTCAAGTGAGAAATAAGGCACATATTTGTAACAGAATGATTAACCATTGTAACAAACTATCAAGGGAAGTGATGAATTCTCTACTTCTTGAAGTCTTTTGCCTGGTCTACACTAGACTAGACAGGATAAATCGACCCCCGCTGGATCGATCGCTGCCCACCGATCCGGTGGCTAGTATAGACATACCCTTTGAATCGAGACTGGATGCCTTATGGAAAATATGCCTTAGTTTTGATGATATTCTATGGCCTTTATAATTAAGGATATGAGATTAGATGATTTGATGGGCCCTTCTGGCCTTAAAACACTAAACTTATGTGGAGTGAAATCTGGTAAGCAGACTTTTGAATGGCTAAAATGTTCTTTGAACTATTTTTCAGTGGTACATTAACCTATAGGAAAAGGTGCAAGTGTCTTCCCTCTCTGATTTGTTTAGCTGTTTTTAACTGTTGTAATTTGCCTTTGAATATGGATTTGCAATCTTGGGAAGGAAACAATTTAAAAAATGTGATTAATAATGAAATATTGCACCAGTTACAAAAGTAGGTGGTTGGAGTGGTGAAGACGAGTAGATAAAACCCTGATGACTCTTTTCCTGGAAATGTTCAAAGTTTCATTAAGAGTTACACTTCAGTTACAAGTAACAGTTTAATTAACATTTCTCACTTTTTAAAAAACTTAATTTTCTTACTTCAGTGACTTCACCAATGGTGGAGACGGGATGTTAGCAACAAGTTCCAATGGATCGCAGTACAGTGGCTCCAGAGTTGAAACACCAGTCTCTTATGTTGGAGATGACGACGACGAGGATGATGACTTTAATGAAAATGACGATGATGACTGATCCTTTTTGATTGTATACTTTTCAGGAATAAAATTATTCTAGGGAGAGAACGCACTCGCGTGCTCGCTCTCTCTCTCTCTCTCAAAAAATAAATATATATATAATATATATATATATTTTGCCCCGTCCCACAAGGAAAATAATGGTAAGCAGTTCTGAGTTTAGAAATTGCGCCTCAGATAAGCAAATAAGGATGTTTTATGTAGGATATTTTTAAATGTGGTGTGGATGTGTGTTTTGATACCAGTGTGTTAATGCAGAGCCTTTATTATTTGCTCCTTTTTTTTTTTTTATTTGAAGGAAAATGCATTTTGCCCCAAATGTTATTGCTAAGTTTGCTAAAAGAAAATGTAGCCACATCAATGAAGAAATAAAATGCTAACTTTCAGTAAGAAATGGATACACTGAATGGCCATAAATTTGGAGTGTATTTTGATGACAGCTTTTGTTGAGGGATGGCAAGCTCATGTAGTAGTTGTGGGTTTTGTTTTGTTTTTTTGATAATCATGCAGTGTCCAAAGAACCAAACAAGAGATCCATCTTACTTTTTTACATGTTAAATTCCATAAATGTTGTTGTGAATTTATTTTCCCTTAAATAATATCTAACACGATTCCATCAAGTTTATATGCTGTTTTTCACTGTATGTTGGGACATATGAATTACAAAGTTTTTGGCAAATGTTTACTGCCAGCTGATGCAGCTATATAAAATGTCTTGAAGGTTTGGAATGAGTTATTGCTTATGGTAAAAATTGCCTGATTTCTTACAGGCAGACTTTGGAAACTTTTTATTATATAGTTGTTTACATACTTATAAGTCTATCATATAAAGACATGTACTGAAACAAATGTTTGTATTTGTTTCATAAGCATCTTCCTGTAATCTATTATAAAGTTGAAATTAAATATAGAGAATGTTTTAAGTTTTTTAACTCAAAATTGTCAATCATTTTTAATAGTTCATTTTTTATAAAAGGAATTTCAGGGCAGGTGGTAGTCTTTTAAAATTTATTCACAAAACATTTAACTGCACAAATACTGTCAGCTGCCTATCTAAGACAGTAGTCTTTTTATTGAAACACAAATAAACTTTTCTGTAATATTTTATGGAATATAAAAAGACTTTAATTGTTTGACTTGTTTAACCTTGGCACTGTTAGTTTTTATTAATAAAACGCGCATGGGCATTTTTAACAAACTCTGTGTTTTTCTAATTTAGGATTATTCTACCTAGAATTTTTAATCTTATTCAGGGGCTTAGCAGATGTCCCCATGGTCAAGTGGAGGCGCGAGTATCTAGAAGAACCCATTGTTTTTAAATGGGTAACGAAACACATGTCCTGCTTCATCATACCCCAGGATGCATGTGTTCCTTTGCACTACTGATGTGAGCAACAATCCTTCCTTAGCAGCTGAGGCAGCCCAATCCACTTTTGCAAGGAAGAGCAGAAGCCACATCTGTATCTGCACAGCCTATCACAATATTTGAATGGCAGCACAAAGACTGGTGTGTCTCCTGAGTTCTAAAATTCATCAGTTAGGATTGGACTAGAAGAAAACCTATTGAGGAAGGGAGGACAGATGGGGGAAGAGGAAGGCTGAAAGTTGGGGACAAAAAAGATAAAAAGGAAGGGTATAAAGCAGTTCCCAACTGCTTTGTCCAACTTCATTTAACTGAGGCTGTGGTAGTGAAAAAAATTAATGAAGCACCTGAGTCTCAAAAGCTACCACCTTTTCCTCATTTCCTGTCTCTGATTACTTCCACAAAACTGAAAGGAGAGGGTCTGAAATAGAAGCAAGATTGGAGCCGGGGATGAGGAAACTAATCTATTTACACTGCCCCCACTTCAGAAATCCTTCCTAGCAAAGGCAGAAACCAGGAAGTCGAGAATATCCATCCATTGGTTTTTTTAAATTACTTGTCAGACTTCACTTAATGTGCTCTTCAAGTAGTCACCTGCTCAGAATGGATCCCTTTGGTATATGGGGGAAGGAAAGAAAAAGGGAGAGCAAAAGCATGGAAGAGAATGGATTTGGGGAAGAGGAGAAGAAGAGAGGGAACTGGCAGAGTGGAAGCGGGGAGGTAGAGAACTAGAAGAGGAAAAGATACTTGAAAGCTGGGGACTTCACAGGGAGACAGAAGGGAGAATTAATGAGAGGTAGTGGGGAGAAAAAAATGGAAAGCAAAACAAACAGACCCCCACTCACCCAGCACCCAAACTCCTCCACTGACACCCTCACACCCAGACCCCTCCACTGAGCCCCAACCACCTTTACCCCGAAGCCCCTGCAGAGTCCCAATGCCCCTGCATCTGGAACCCCCCGCAACGAGCCTCTGTGCATACAGAACACCCCACACCTAGACTCTCCAATGGGCTGCCTGCACCCAGATTGTCCCACACAGAATCCTCTCACCCCCACCTGGATCCCCCCACACTTGGATCCTGCCTGGTTGAGCCTGGCGCAGACAGGCAGGGCCCCAGGGTGTTTCTGGGGCAGGCCTTGTCCTGTGTCAGGGTTGGGTGCAGCCTCACCACTGAGTCACTGTCCCTGGGATGGGGGGTAGAGAGGCTGCAGGGTGATCTCCCACCTTCATGCAGCCAGTGGCCTGTGTTTCCCCACTGCCATGCTGGACCCTATACGTTCATCTATTGACAAACAGTTGCAGAATTTTAAAATACTGTGCACAGGATTTTTAATTTTTTGGTGCAGAATTTTTAATTTTTGGCACAGAATGCCCTCGGGAGTAAAGAATAGATTAGAAAATATCTGGGTTTGGGAGAAGACAATGATAGGGAAGTAACATACTGTCTCTCCCCTCATTTGCCTGCTCTTTTTTATAATATATCCTGTTGATTACTATGGAAGGGGAGGATAATATTTTGTAAAGGTTGCAGTGTGTGTATCTGGAAAGGGTCTACTTCTAAAGTGTGCTTCGGGCGGCATACACAAATTGTTACTGGCTTGTTGGTTTTCTAAAATGACTCATTTTCTGAAGAAGGTACCACCTTTCCCTTTATACCCATCCCATCTCATAGAACTGGAAGGGACCCTGAAAGGTCATTGAGTCCAGCCCCCTGCCTTCACTAGCAGGACCAAGTACTGATTTTGCCCCAGATCCCTAAGTGGCCCCCTCAAGGATTGAACTCACAACGCTGGGTTTAGCAGGCCAATTCTTATGGTAATAGAAGTTCAGAGGGCCTTTGCAAATAAAGTGTTTACCAATTCTGGAATCATAAATTGTTTGGTTTCCCCTATAGAATTTTGCCACTCTTTTCAAAAGAAAAAGTGATTTTTTTTTTTTTTTTTTTTTTTTAAAGAACACTTCTGGTCCTCTGCAGCCCAGGATAATTTCTTCAGAGGAAGGTAAATAAGTGAAGATATGTGGTGCATTGGACCTTGAAGCTGATCGTCTGGCAAATAGTTTAGATGAGGAGATAAGTGTAAGAAAGAAAAATCTTTGAATTTCTGCTATAGATGAATACAAGTAACTTTCATCTGAGTTATGAAACCTTCACCCCAATAGAAAACCTTACTGTGAAATTTGGATGGATGTTTTTTTTTTTTTTTTTAGTGGACCTCTCTACCACCATGTGTTAATGCAGCCTTCTTGTTCAAAAAGGGACCTGCACACAAGTCACACAATTAGAATCAACTTCTTGATGGAGGGAGGTGCCTTTCTACCTTGATGGCCCACAATCTTCAGTGGGTTTTCCTTACTCCCCTAGATTATTGGAAGCAGAGTAGACCTTTTGTCCTGGCTATTGCATAGTACCACTTGCTCTGAGCCTTTTCCAGATTTCTCTGCCTCCAAGAAAGTACGGATAGTAGGCTATACACATCTGTGACAGCTTTTTCAGATACATCTCATTTCTTACTTGTTTGGAAAGTATAAAAGGAATGTCAACTTTTTTTTTTTTTTAAAGTTTGACATGCTTTCTCTCCCCAGTCTTCCTGCTGGGCCAAAGATTGCAGAGAAGGAGAAAGCTAAAAGCCAGGAAATTACACTGTGTACTCAGCACAATTACAACCTGGCACAGAGATCCTGGCTTTTCTACCTTGCCAGAAACCTCAGCAGAATCAGGTTGGGGGTGGGGATGGAGGGGAGATTGGTTCCCAGCAACCCCACAGGAAATTACCCCACTCCCACCTGGTACATGAGCAAAGGCCTCACTAAATTGAGCAAGTAGCAGTGAAATCATCTCTCCCTCTAGAGAAGGCTTTTAAGAAAGAGGAAGCAGTAATGTCAACTTTGACAGTGATGCCAATCCAACTCAGTGGTAAGAATGGATTGTTAGGAAGCTTCAACGATATATTTTCTGCTGTAGCACACACCATGTCAGTGGAAGACCTTGTGAAGGAAGATGATGAAGTACTTTCCAGTCCATTAGTAACTAAAGAAGAATAAACAATGAGAGCTTTGTCTCTTCTGTAACACTAAAAGCCACAGTAGGACCTACCACCCAGCAGAGCTGCAGTACTTACAAATAAAACTATCACTAATTCATGAATTTGCTCCGGATGCTCTGGAAATGGCCGCAGATGTACTAGGAACCTTGGAAATGCTTCATAAACTTCCAAGGCCTATGTCCACTATGTATGCCTTACTAATGAAGAGGAACTCCATTGGTCTGGAGTTCTTTGTAAAAGCATAGGAAGAGGAATGATCACAGCCCTTAAAAGAACCCCAATGGCAGAGCCTATTACGGAATGTTAAAAATGCTTCTGTGGATCTGAGGTAACAATGCTTCTGTGGATCTGAGGTAACAATGCTTCTGTGGATCTGATACAGCAAAAGATTTTATTCAAAATGTATCGGATGTCACAGAGTTTGTGCAAGATGGGGTGGGGAGGGGGGGTTGTACTCTGCTATTTGTTGGTGCTGTAATAGAACAAAAGGAGCTCTAATGCATATGCTATAGGACTTTGGCAGCTGTGGAAAGAGGTAGACACCAGTGACAATTAGTTCTTCGCTTCAGCAGCCAAACTTTAGCTGAAAATTACATCCTAGGTTACGGACCTACTGCACTGTTACACCACAAAGACTTTGATTTTTCAAGGCTACAGTGATTACCAAGCACATGATTTTACAAAAATGGAGTAGTGCTATTTGGAATTGTGTGAGTTAAGAACAAAATAAAGAATAGCTTTTCAATGTACAAGGCAATTATATTAATTCAAAGACATTTGGACCACATTTCTTGATACATTTGAATAAAGAATGCTGAGATGGCTCAAATAATACCAGACTTCCGGTCCACCTGCACTCTCCACTTTTTCTCTTCTTCTTGAGCCTCCCTCCCTTAATCCCTCATTCCCTTTTTTGCCTTTTTGTTTCTTTTTTTTTTATCCCCAGCCTAACGTTATGTCTGCGTAATATTGTCTGGTTTTTGTATTGTCTGATCTTGCAGCTTTGACAAATTGTTAAGTTGTGTAATTGCATATTTTTATTGGCTATTCTGTGAAATTTGTGGTGTTTGGTAACCTACAAAAGCAGTAAGTCATTTTACCTTTCTGTATTTTTGATTATTTTATGAAAATTAATAAAATATTTACAAAAAACTAGGAATATATATTTTTAAATCAGCAAGCCTAGATAACTTTCACTCAGGAGTTCTAAAAGAGTTGGCTGAGAAGATCTCTAGAATGCTGATAATTTATCATAGAATATGAGGGAACTGCCAGAAGACTTGTAGAATACTAATATTGGGCCAGTATTTAAAATGGGCAAATGTAATGGGGTAACTATAGGCTGGCTAACTTGACATCAGTTCTGGGCAAAATAATAGAAAAGCTGATATGGGATTCAGTTGGTAAAGATTTAAAGCAGGGAGTAGTCAATAGGCTGACCACAGACCAAATCCGAACCACCAGTCGCTTATTTTTATCATCGTTATTTTTATTATTTTCTCTGAAGTCTGGACCTTGACTATACCTTGACCAAGAAATTTGGACCTTGACACAAATAATTGATTACCCCTGGTTTAAAGGATAGGAGTATAATTCATTCCTGAAAACGCGGTATTATGGAAAATAAATCCACATCCCTGAGCAACATAGTTATACCAACTTAACCCTCCGTGTACACAGCGCTATGTCAGTGGGAGAGCTGCTCCTGCCAACATAGCTACCGCCTCTCAGGGAGGTGGATTAACTACGCCAATGGGAAAAGCTCTCCCCCGTCAGCATAGGAGTGTCTTCACTAAAGTGCTATAGCGACACAATTGTACCAGTGCAGTGTGCTGCTGTAGGTGAAAACAAGCCCTTAGACTTTTGTAAGGTGTTGATTATCAACTCAGGGTGTTTCTAGTGGGGTTCCACAGGGATCGTTTCTAGGCTTAATGCTATTCATAATCTTCGTCTATTAATTGCTGAGTAAATACAAAATCATTGCTAATGAAATTTGTGGAAGACATAGATTGGTGGTACGGTAAATATAGATGAGGACAGGGCAGGCATCAGAATGATCGGGATTGCTTGGTAAACTGGGTCCATTTAAACAAAATGCATTTTAATACAGCCAAATGCAAAGTTATACATCTAGGAACAAATAATGCAGTGACTGAAAAGGACAAGCAATTCAATGTGAGTTCCCAGTGTAACATGGTGGCAAAAAAGGCTGATTGTATGCTTTAGATGTGTAAAAGGGAGTAGCGAGGAGTAATAGTAGGGAAATGATTTTACTTTTGTACCCAGTATTGGTGAGACCAATACATGATTGCAGGGGACTGAACTTGATGACCTCTCCCTTCCAGTCCTATGATTCTGTGATCCTAGTGGTCCTTACTACAAATCTGGGAATGTGAATCTGCATCTACCGAGTCCTTGGGAAACTTGTTAATTGTATTATTCTTAGGGGCAAAACAAGCATCCAAACTATAGCAACAATGAACTGCAGTTTTCCCAGGAGAGTATGGATTTGTGATGAAGCATTGCCTGGTTCAACTGTAAAGGTTGTAGCAGCTTGGGCTGTACTAGATACAGCCATGCACAAAGTTCTCTTGCAAGACAGAGGAAGATTTGTATGCTTGTTGCTAATGGCTGAATGCTCTGTTTACTGATAGTATTAGTTTACTTTAGAGCATGAGTAAGTATTTTGGCTAACAAGAAGGTTCAGTATATTGTAGCTTAGGATGTTATTTTGGGAAAGGTGCAGAGGAGGCAGTCCAATGCCACAGCCAGAACAAAAGGTTGGTCTACATCCAATCACCTAGAAGAGAGGCAAAAGCTCACTGTTAATATTGAGACATTAAAGGTCCAGGAGAGGAAAATCATAGGTAAGAACAAATTTTATTTCTTCTCCCTGAAATGCAGAGTTTTCCAAATACTCCTTAATTTGAGTTTAATGAGGCGCACTGAAAGTCTCTTGGTGGCTATGGAGGGAAAGGAGTCTTCACCCCCAAGATTCTTCAGTAGGCTGGTCATTCCAAGTGACAGGCTATTTGTCTGGCTTTTGCTGTCTCAGTGTGTTTTCACGGTTTCTGGATGTCCAATTCAATTAAGTTGGGGATTCAAAAATATCTTTTTGGAATCAACTACTCTCCAAAGTGCCTCTTATCTGTTTAAAATATCCTGGATTTTACCCCAAATAGTTTTAAAGCATATTGTACTGTACCTTTTAGAAATCTTACTATTTTTCATATCAGTTGTTAGTTTGATTTTTAATATTTGTAAATAATTCTGTACATGAATTACTTTTAACATCGTCAAACATGCTTAATTTTTCAGAATCATTCTAGCTAGCCAAAACTCTATGGTTGTAACTAGTTTACAGAAGTAATATACTCTTTGCTCACTTGTGCTTTTACCCCAACTCTGATAGATGTAGTTAGATGCTACATTTTCATTGGTGAGTTTTTATTAAATGGTACACATACAGCAATTGTAAAAGGTGTAATACTAAATACTGCTATAAGCTACACAGGCTAATTTTCAAGTCACCTTCTTTTACAGTCATTGATTTGTTGTATCATAAAACAAATAATACGACTGACTAAACAGTTCAGAATATAATGTGTTAATGCATGATACAGTTAGATTTGAATATACTTTTTGATTTATACATTTTATACTAAGTGGATAAAACTAATGTGTAATAAAATTACATTGCAAGCTAGTATTTCAAAACATCAGGGTATTAATGCGTTTTTTGCAGCAATTGAATTGCTTCTACAATGGCCTAGTAAAGAATAATTAGTTGTTTCCAGACAAGTGACTAAAATCGACATCTTGGTACTTTGTCCATGCTTCTCATGAATCATATATGCTCAATTTAGAGGAAAGCCATTTCATAATAGTATTTGTGCTAAAGCACCAACATACAGTAGCCATGGAAGAGCAAATTCTGTGTATACATCAAGAAAAATTACTACCTTCATATATTGTAAATTATATCTTGATTTTTAGATGGCTGGATGATACTTCAGTACTGGTATTTACAAAATGTCTTTTGTTAAACTGAAATCTGAGCAAATTTTATATGGGAATCATGGAAAAAAATAAATATAAAATAATGTGGTGACATTTAAGTCACTTTTCATACCACACCCACTTTTCTGAATGTCTTCGTTTGTACCAGTAATACCTAATCTTGTATTCTCATTTTGAACTCCACTTTTCCTTCATATGGATCATGAGGGTTATCTGCGGTAATTCCAGCTCCAATGACTCTGCACACAACGGTAACTTCTGTATTCCTTGTAATGTTGAGAAATTTCACTGCTACCAAAGGATTACTGTAGGTGGGCTGGGATGAAAGAAAGATCTTTTAACCTTCTTTTGAAAGCTTGAACTATCAATTTAGAAATATAAATTGTGCATTAAATTTTGATCAAATTCACGTAATTTCACAGAGATGTTTCAAACTGCTGATCTGATAAAAACATAGGGGAACAAAACCACAAATTTGAGTTCAGAAACACATACCTGTGCTTTCTTTCCATAGTAAGGGAAGTAGTGAAGGTTAAAGGTGCCGTTGATTGGGTAATATTGTAGTTCAAGTGGGCTGAAGTCCTCATGCTATTTTTGAAGGTAAGAAATCAGATTTGTTAGCACTCAAACTATAAACCAGCACTCAGTTTTCAATAACATGAAATTCAATAAAGACAAGTACTAAGTACTACACTTTAAGAAAGAAAAATCAAATGCACAAATACAAATGGGAAATAACTGACTAAACAATAGTATGGCTAAAAAGGATTTGGGAGCTATAGTGAACCATACGCTGAATATGAGCCAACAATGTGGTGGCGTTGCAAAAGCTAGTATCATTCTGGGATGTATTAACAGAATTGTCTATTTAGCACTGGTGAGGCATCAGCTGGAGTACTGTGTCCAGTTCTGGGCCCCACCTGTTAGGAAAGACATGGGCAAATTAGAGAGAGCTGAGAGGAGAACAACAAAAATGATAAAAGATTTCGCAAACCTGACCTGAAAGGTTAAAAAAAACTAGGCATGTTTAGCAGTAAGCAAAGAAGGATGAGGGGGGAACTGATAACAGTCTTCAAATATGTCAAGGGCTGTTATAAAGAAGACCGTGATCAATTGTTCTCCATGTCCACTGAAGGTAGGACAAGAAGTGATAAGCTTAATCTGCAGCAAGGAAGAGTTAGGTTAGAAATTAAAAAAAACTTTCTAACTGTAAGGATAATTAAGTACTGGGATAGGCTTCAAGGGAGGTTGTAGAATCCCCACTAATGGAGGCTTTTAAGAACGTTAGATAAACAGCTGTCAGGGATGGTCTAGATATACTTGGTCCTGCCTCAGGGCTGGGAGCTGAACTAGATGACCTCTCAAGGTCCCGTTTAACCCTACATTTCGGTGACTGAATGATTCTAAGTATTTTATAGCTATTAAAACCTAAATAATATGCACAGACCTCAGTTCAGCAATCCATACTTTATCAGCGCAGCACTTGAGAACATGCCTAACTTTGTCCCACTGAAATGAATTCTACAGTCTCAGCTTTCTTTTGAAAAAAATTAATCTCTAGCTGTTATGGTTGTCAAGAGAAACCTCCAAAGCGTGACAAGAGCTAACCAATTCCAGGGTATCTGCCTGAGTTTTCAGAGAGCCTGAAACAATTGCTCCGAGTTGTGAACTCCCCTGTTTATTTCAGATACCACTGATGATACTTTAAAGGTCAACTATTTCAGATACTCTGGATACTTAGTTTAATTAGTTCGCTGGTATTCAAAGTATGGAAGAAAGGAGAGGAATATCATATTATAAACATGTTTGATATCCAATATTGAAAATAAGTCATTTCTTAGCCTAAAGTAGGGATTGGCAACCTTTTGCACGTGGCCTGTCAGAGAAATCTGCTGGCGGGCCGGGACGATTTGTTTACCTGCAGCGTCCGCAGATTCGGCTGATCGCAGCTCCCACTGGCTGCGGTTCGCCGTTCCAGGCCAATGGGGGTTACGGGAAGCGGCGGCCAACACATCTGTTGGCCCACACCGCTTCCCGCAGCCCCCATTGGCCTGGAACGGTGAACTGTGGCCAATGGGAGCTGCAGTCGGCCGAACCTGCAGACGCTGCAGGTAAACAAACTGTCCCGGCCCGCCAGCGGATTTTCCTCACAGGCCACGTGCCAAAGGTTGCGGATCCCTGGTCTAAAGGATAAAAAGAATTACAAGCACATTTTTAAAACCCAATTTAATTTCATTTATTTAAAATTCTAAAATATGGGAAGACCTTAAACAACACATAATAGGGTTAAAAGGGGTATGTGATTGGTTTCATTTTCCTGAAGGGAGCCTCAGCTTTCAAAAGTCTGGGAAATGCTGCTGTGTGATATCTGAGGGAGACATGTCCAATAGATTGGAAAGATTCTTTCAGCATGTTGTATATTCTGTATTACAAAATACATAGTTCCCACCCTTTATGTGAAGCAATTAACTACTCAGATAGCTGAATGCCAATTTTGTAAATAACTTTTTTTCTGTTCTGGACACATTTTATTTTTATATATTTTTCCTTAAAGCCTGACCCAAAGCTCATTGTCATCAATCTGTTGTGGATCAAGCCCTGTATCACTGAAGGTTAGAGAAATTTGCAGCAATGTAACTACTTTTATATAGTTACACTGGTGCAAACCTAGAGTAGAGGCACACTGCATCAGTGTTAACCAGAGCTGGTGCTGGTGTGACTTGCCCAAGTAATTTACCAGGTAATTTGCACCCGTTTAAAAAAAAAAACAAAAAAAAAAAAACCCCCAAGCAAACAAATGAAGCCAGTATAGATATGTCATGAGAAAAGGGATTGCCCCCCCCTCTAAATTATAACTAAACAAACCTTTTTCTTAGCTTGAAGTGTTGTATACTAACTGATTGCCCATAGTAAATTATAGATGAGTAATAAACTGTGGCGGTAAGGTGGTAGTGGCGGAGAACTGATAACATTCAAACTTATTGTGACAAGTACGTTTGGTTAGGATAATGTCTGATTTGGTTAGCAATATCTGAACTATGTTTTCAAATGAGTTAGAATAAAGAAATTAACTTTCCATTTTCTTACAGTTTCCTGGATCTGAAAGGTATATGCAGGTAAGAATACTTCTACTGAAGGAACAATTGGACATTACAGTGAATTGTAAATTGAAAAGTGTTTGCTTAGGGAAATGATTTTCAAAGGTGCAAGAGCATCTATAAATCCTGTTGAAATCAATGATAGCTGCAGTGCTTGGAACCTTTGAAATGTGAGCACTCCGTACTTACTTGAGCTGTACAGCTCACCCTTGGTGCAGTGCCATTGCCAGGGAGAAAATTGATAATCTGAAACATAATAAATGTTCACATTAGTCACTTCAGAATTATTTATAATATAAAAGCATTGGCAAAAATGATGTATTTAGATTTGCATATTGCTTTGGCTGCCTTTTTCTGGATCTTGGTAAGAACTGTGAAGCTTAGATCATTTTTATTGTATGCAATAATAAAAAACACCTTATCACAAAGTATCATATTTGCAATGTGGAACACCATCGCTTCCTGGCTTTTTTTTTTTTTCCTCCTTAGTGAGGCTAACTAATTTAATTGCATACATTCATTTGGAGACTAGTGTTCAACAAGAAGAAATTACTTAATGCATTAGTAAAATTAAAGTTTTTAAAAGTTTTGCTGCCCTCCATGACCTGACATATCAGCACTGGCTTGGGTTGAGTAAACAGGCACATCCTTCTCAGGTGCAAACTGGCAGGACCCCCATCACCAGTAGCAAAGACAGAAGGAAGTAAGCACCACTGGGGAGTATGAGGCAGGACCTCCCCTTCTTCTCTGCTGAAGCTTGGGCTGGTAAGCCCTCTAAACAAGGCTTTACTGGAGAAAGTGGCAGCTTTTTTTAAAGGAGCCTATTCTTCACCTGAAAAAAACAAGTACACAAGCTTTCCTCCCACAGCTAGCTCTTGCAGACATTAGTTTCCCCTATGTTGCTCAGGTTTCATTTACTTGGTACTTGTGATGTCATAATTTTACTAATTCTCCAGTAATCTATAGGATTGTCCAGGAAAAAGACAATACCTGAATTTCTAATGCAAAATTGAGTTAGAGTCAACAGCAATGGGTGATATAGAAACCTCTAGCATGGAAAATTATTCTGATTCTTCTTCTATCAAACATTAGTTAACAGATCAGTCTTTCTTTTTCGGTACTTTAGGATTGGTACTTACTCTGTTCATTTTTATAATTAAACATGGTTTTCCTTCTGGAAATCCAAAAGTGGAATTTGCCAGGCCAGAGCAGTTTTCAAGCATATCTGATGTGAACTTGCAGGAGTGTTTTGTTTTGTTTGGACCAAGGAATGATTTTTGAAAGAAGTATTTCTCACTTGTGCAGTTGATGTTGGCATGTTGTGCAGTTGTATTATATGCTATATCAGTGTAAAACAAACAAACAAAAAATTAATTCCTCCATATCCTGGTTTGTGGCACTGAACTATTTCCCTCACAGATTGTAATTTTTAATACCATACTCCAGGGTTTTTTTGTGGGAGACCTAGTTGTATTTCTAGAGAGAATAGAATCAAATAGTATTAACAAGGGCAAATTGTACTCTCTATAATTCACAGACAAAAACTATGTTAAAATGGAGTGAAGGTTGACAGTACATATCAATAATCTAGGATAAAATCCATTATGGGGATGTTAAAATTATCCTCAAAACAATCATTAGAAATTCAGGAAATTTAAAGCTAGGGTTTAACTTAAAATAAATCCCAACATATATTCAGGTATTAGGGCACCGAAACAACTTTAAGTATGCCCTGTAGTGACACCAGGCAATAACCACATGATTACAATTAAGGCATATGTGTTTGTGGTCACATATGAGATTAAACTTTTTTCTTTTTTCCTCCTCATGGTGTCACAATATTAAGATCATTCGGTGGAGGGGGCGACGAATAGGTCTGTCGTGGTGCTGCATTTCTTGCATCACCCATTTTACATTAATTTTGACTCGTAAGCTCATTAACAGATTTACTTGTAAATTTTCAGAAAATTTATTCTATGCTGAAAAAATGTACTATTTTATACTCACTGTAGTTGTGGGAAGATATGCTGTATTTTCCTTACAAAGCAAAGAGACTGAATCTCTACTTTAAGTGCAAAATCTCAACTCTCCGTTTACTAGGGAGCAGTGATCTGTCCTTCTATAATGTTATGTTTATATTGAAATAAATCTTATTTCTTTTCATACCCGAAAGAAATTTGTGAAGAGTTGTTACATATTTCTCCCAGGAGTTTTTGTCAGAGACATTGTAATAAATTTCTAATCCTCCTTCACCATAGACATCCGGACGTAATGTCACCCCTTTATTTAAAAAAGAAAAAATGAAGAAAAGAGAAGTGTTTCAGGTATTAATCAATTTATTTAAACTAATTGCAGATGTGACACTGAAATGAAAGCTATCAGTGGAACTCCACTGAGCCCCCAGTCACTGTTGGAAGTGATTTAATCATCCTGCACAGGAATGATAGGAAATCTTCAGAGGGTGTATGCAAAAATCGATGCTACTTGTGAAATGCTTTCTTTTCTCTATGATTCAAGTATGTCTCCCTTATTTTCAGAATGCCCTAAAATGCAAGTGCGACTGATGTCCTATTTCATTTATACTGTATTTCCCCCAGCACTTGTTAAAAGTAGTGGATATAATTATCATATCAATTCTAAAAGCCAAAGTATATTTCTCTGTGAAATGACTTTCCAACATGCAAATTTAATGTTCGACAGCAATTATTTTGCCAGTAAACTTAAGTGTTGTTTTCCCTTCCCCAGTTTAAAAATCCTAATTAGGAGCAGTTCTATACCTACATAAACTGTCTAGTGATTGGCTTAACAGATTTTTTACTGTCCCCTCTCCCATCTATTCACATTTTCAAGTCCTAATCTTTATTGCTAACTCCATGTTTCTTTGTCCACCTTATTTTTACTTTACGCCTTATTTATTTCTTTTTGGCATTTTTCTTTCATCTTCTTTGTTCTCTCCCTTTCTATTTCACTTCACTTCCATGGTTCTGTTTCTATAAATCTCACATTACTACTGTCTTTTTTTCTTCTCCGAGTGTACAGTGTCTGAAGAGACTTGAAAGTGCTGCTGTCAAGGAGTGGAGAGCTTAGTCCTGTCTTGTTTAGGAAATAAGGGCCCATTTACAACTCTTCTGTGGGAAAACCCATAGAAAGGGAGGAAATTTCCCTGAAGTTCCTCTTGAAATTTCCCCTGATTTATTTGCTAAGAGGGCAGGTTTAAATAGGTGACAGGGCCTGCTCACAAACCCAGGAGATCCCCTGAGAGCCAGAGAATGTCAGGACCCTGATCCTGTGCCCCTGCTTTGTGTCCTCAGCACCCTGACCATTCCTCTACACAGGAACTCGTATTGTGAAAAATTAGAGTGATTTTGATACATTAGCCATATGGTATGAAATGGACAGTATTTGTGACTATACCTGGTGATTTTAATCGATCTTGATAGTCCGGTGTATATGGACTGATTGTCCTCATTAAGGAATATATGGCGAGTGAAAACAGCCCAGTCATCACTATGTAGAAAGCAACGTAGTACAGACTGATCCACACTGTAGGGAAAATGTATGATTAACAATATCAGGTTAAAGTGAATATTGCGAGTAAGTCCCTCCCTGCTATGTTTTTGTTTTTAGTAGATGCTGTCATGACTAAAAAGCTTGAAAGGAGTAGAAAAATGGAGAGGCAAAGTAATCCAATGGACAGAATCTTTGTTTGAATTTGACTTCAGTGGGAGTTGAAGGTACTCAGCATCTTCCAGAATTGTGCACTAAATTTGGTGTTTTGAGTCTTATCTGTTAATTTAAAAAAACTTTTTTTCTGGAAAATGTTGTAAATTTGTTCCATTTTATAAGGAACATAGTGAAGGTGTGGAGTAACATACCACTGGATATTATTTATTGACTAATAATTTCTTTCAGCTCATAGGTAAATTTGGATAGCTTGAAAGAAGGGGCTGAAGGCTACCCATTACACGAAAGTTTTTTTTTTTTTTTTTTTACGTAACTGGTTATCAGCACAGATTATAAATTGAAAAAATCTGTGCTGCTTCTTGGCATGACTATTTTTGCATGTTCACCATACTTATCTGCTCATTCCATATGAAGGATATAAAACAGTCCTGATGAATTTCACTGACAACACCAGTCTGCTAAAAATATGATTTGGTCACAGATCCCATTTACACTTATTTCACACTTTATCATTGAATCCTTCTCGGGTAAATCTCTTCTCACTGCCACCTGATTTACAATGGTGTGAGATTAGAACCAGGCTCTGTTTCTTCATACATGTCTGTAAAATACCTAGCACACTGTTAGTTCTACATAAATAATTAATACAACAATCCCCATGGAATAAGTTTAAAAAAAAAACAAAAAAAAACCCCACTAATTTTTATCATATAACCCTTGCACCCACCAACATTAGGAAAGGTTAATTTTAAGTAGATTTTCTTTTAAATTTAAAAATTGCTGTTAAGATCCATTATATCAAATTTCAGCTCAGAAAAACATCTTACAGGCAAATCGGTTATCTCAGGAAAGGAGCAGAGAAGGGAGAGAGTAACCTGCAACTGCCATTAGTATCTGTGGGACAAGAAACCTTTTTAAAATCAATCAGAGCATTCCTTCTTTGAATGTAGACCATGAGACATATTGTTGTTGCAAAGGCAGGGTTGTTTGTGGATGGATGGATGGGTTGAGCTGAAATGTGCATCAGTGTGCTGGGATAAAACAGCAGATTTACTAAACAGAAATGAAATCAGAAAAATCATTTTGGAAAGGCAAACTGTATTTCCAGGTATTTGGATCTGAATTTTATCTTCACTTGCTTCCCAGATGGGCCTGAAGAGAAAAAAACAGATCCTGTTTCCTGTGTTATCCTGACATTTAGATATTAGGTCCAGTTCCTGTAGTCCTGAGCATCCAAAACAACCAATTAAAGTTAAAAGGAGTTTTGCGTACATAAAAACTGCAAGGTCAGGCCCCCTCTAGTTAATCCTGCTGTCAGAATCATGTCATAACTATAACACATAGGTATTAATAATTAATGATTATCTTAATTTGCATCCTTGACAATAATTTGAACCAGAATGGTTTAAAACTATTCTCATACTTGAGGAAAATACTTAGGCCATTTTAATAAAGAAAAACTGATCCATCTGGTTATATAGCCAATTGTTAATATTTATCCGTCGTCTCATTGCCTTTGATATGGTGTCTCTAAACTGGTCAGAAATGTTAAAAGTCCTGGCTAAAGAGAGCTCAGCTGTTTGCAGTCTGTCTTTGGTAGAAATTCTGAAAAACACTAACTTGCCATAGTTTATTTTAATAATTATTTCTCAGTTTCACAATCATGGAATCATGTACATCAGATATGGAAGTCAAAGGGGATTTTGCCATTGACTTCGGTGGGAGCAGCATTGAAGACCTTAGTTATTTTAATCTTTCCATATATATCAACCCTGCCAGCACCTTAATCATTTTGGTTGCTCTTCTCTGTGCTTACTCCATTTTTCCAAGTGATTCTTTCATTGTCTTGTTTTAAGTCATGCTTAAGGTGATACATTTCATCCTAATGGTGGTTCGGGAATTTTAGTTATGGCAAAAAAAAATCCTTGAATAAGTGAAACAATTAAGAGATTCCAAATCTCTTCATTCAATAACTTCACACTCAGAAACATTTCAGGAAATGAACTTGTGCTTTAACAAAATATCTCATCAACCCCTGGGGTGACTCACAAGCATGTCACAAAAACAAGAGATCTCCATGACCATGCAACATTCATCATCTCATCCTAGCAAATTAATGAGGGACAAACAAAAAAACAAGTCATGCAGCTTTCTAACAGCACTAGAAAGAAGAAAAGATTCTTGTTTTTGTAGACATATGTGACCACATACCCCAATTAATCAAGGTTCTTCCCATTAACTGCCCTGTATCTGGATTCCAGACGAAACGGTTGAAATTTTCCATCCGTTGGCTGCAGGTCTTCTTTTCATTTAAAGCTGCCATTTTCTCAAAAAAAAAAAAAAAAAATCCCAAACACACAGACAACCCCCTGAAACCCAAAGAACACGAGAAACCAAGAAATTCAACTGATGCCCAAACGGCTGGTCAAGAAGAATACTCTGCTTTTTATACTTTTCTTCCCTGAAGGTCAAACAGATTACACCCAATATCACTGAAACCACCTAATGGCAAAATGTCCTGTATAAACATTGCTGATAAAGTACAATGTTCAGGTTGGCAAAGAAAAATTAGTTGCTATCACATGTCCTTCTACTTTCTCTTTAATACCTCAGTAACTCTCCAGTGTTACACGTTTTGTACAGCACCTTTAGAACTTGTGATACGTTCAGCTTGATAGCTGTTATCAAAGCAGATAAAGTTAAGGAGAACTGCTTCCCTGCATTTTTTCTTTTTTAAATCTACAAAGATTGGATCAAATTCTACCCTTACAGCACATGAAAGCCCAATCAGGTCCATGGGGTTGCATGGGGAATAAGTTGTCACAGAGTTTGGTCAATTATCCATCCAGTTTGCCACCTTTCACAAGTAGAAGGGGAATTTCTCCCTGCTTTCTACTGGAAGAGTTGTTATAGTGCACTCTCTGATTATATTAACTTTGGCCACATGCAGGACACTAGTCTCATTCACTTCATATCCCTGTTTCATTCACTATGCACCACCATACCAAATGAAGCAAGGGCCCTACAGGAAAAAGTATTGTGTGATAAAGGACAGTTTTGTAATGCATGTGTACAATGAAGCAGAAGTAAAATTGTGTGGGCAACCTTAACTTTAGCATTCCTGTCTTTTGATTGTTTCACTTCACAACCTGAGGCTCTGATCCCTCAAAGATATTTGCTTCTCTTTATGCACCGTGAGTAGTCAAGCTGAAATCAATAGTTGTGTAAGTCTCTGTAAGATCAGCACCATAATGTGCTTTTGCCTAGGTTTTTTTCAGAAAAAAAGAAAGGATGTACACTTAGGACTCAATCCATTTTAAAAAGAATGGTTATGATAAGTTCTACTGGCACACACAGAAATAATGGTTCAGAATTTAGATTAAGATCCTAGAGCTCTTCACTCACTGCTTTTAACCACACTGCCATCCTTCAACTTTATTAACTGATGTTAACTATCTGTGTTAACCTACTGTCAGAAATATCTAGGGTTAAATTTGGGTCCCACTGAAGTTAATAGCAAAACTTTCTGAGAATTCAGTGACACCAAGTTCTTTGAGTGCTTGCTCATGTGTATTCCACAGTAGGTGTGCGTGCTCGCCACGTGCACAGGTGCCGGAAGCTTTTCCCCTAGCAGTATCCATAGGGGGAGCGCTGCTGCGACCCTTGGAGTGGCGCCTCTATAGCGCGCTATAAGGGGAGCCGCACGCTCCCCCCACCCTCAGTTCCTTCTTGCCGCCAGTGAGGGTGCATTGTAACTACTGCTCCAGCTTCGCTTCGCTGCAGCTCGTCCCTGAACTCGTTGTTTGTCGTTAGTGGTACCTGTTAGTTCAACAAGTTTCAATTCAGTTAGTTAGCATTCGGGGTGGGGCCCCAGGGTTTAAATCGTGCAACTCTTGCAGGCGTTCGATGCCCAGAAGTGACCCGCACACTGACTGTCTCCGCTACTTGGGTGAATCCCATATTAGTGACCGCTGTAAGATCTGCAGGTACTTTAAACCTAGAACTAAAAAAGAAAGAGACATTAGACTTTGGGCCCTTCTAATGGAGTCGGCACTGGCCCTAACCCTGGTGTGCCGAGCGGATTCGGCACCGGGCACAGGGCCGGCTTTAGCAAGTGCGGGACCCAATTCCTGGGGTGGCACTTGGGATTGCTGGCTGGGGGAGAGGGGGCCGCAGGGCTTGCCGCGCTCTGGCTGGGGCCGCGGGGCTGCCGCGCTCTGGCCGGAGCTCCAGCCAGGAGAGCAGGGCCGCGGGGCTTGCCGCGCTCTGGCTGGGGTTGCGGGGCCACAGGGCTGCCGCACTCCGGCCGGAGCTCCAGCCGGGAGAGCGGGGCCTGCCGCGCTCCAGCCAGCGCTCTGGCCAGGGGAGCGGGGCCCCCGAAGACGAGTACATGGGGCACTCTTAGGCGCGGGGCCCGATTCCGGGGAATCGGGCAAATCAGCCTAAAGCTGGCCCTGACCGGGCACCTCGTCTTCGGTGCGCAGTGATCCCCCAGCACCTTGCGGTGGCCGGCACCACTCTCCGTCTAAGAAACAGAGAAAGGCCCCATCCTCTCAGTGGCGTCGAGAGAAAGCAGGGGGAGAGGCTAGACCCGCGTCGGGCAGCCCCAGTTCCCCCCTGGGGTCCAGAGCTCCGACTCATGTCTAGCGGAGCAGACCGGTGACGTCGACTCAAGCCTCTCCAGATGTCTGGATGCCTTCGATGCCGGAGGCCCTGCAGGCGGCCCGAGACATTATGACTCTGCGGTACCCGGGGCACCACCAGCACCCAGGCCCCACTCCAGAGGCAAGCCGCCACTGGGCTCTAGACAGTCGAATCCGACCCGACGCAGATCCTGGTCAGGGGACCACTCTAGGGCACGCTCGCCGCTCAGCATCCTGTCAGAACACAGTCTCCAGCCTCTGCTTTCGTCACCCACCAGGTTGTCTGGTTGTGTGCCATCGGATCGGAGTTCCAGGCACCGTTCCACGCCGAGCAGAGAGTATCGGCGGGACAGGCATAGGCACTCCCCTTCTCGTGTGCGCTACCGTAGCCGCTCCCGACACGGGCACCGTCGCCATTCGTGCTCCAGCTCTCTCTCCTTGAGGCACCGCACCCACGACTCCTGGCGGGGGTTGCCATTTCTGCGCCGTCACGGATCTCGGCATAGTAGCATCTCGAGAAGTAGTAGCTCAAGATGGCACCGTTCCTTGACGTCAGAGTCCCGGTCTCGTGGCAGATGTCGTTCTCGGCACCATCGATCGTACCGCTCCCGTTGTACTGACAGGTTATTGGTAACCCCGACCTTGACCCACACGAGGCCCCCTACATCTCAGCCCGGCCAACCTGACCAGCTGGTGCCACCGGTGTTACAGCATAGTCAATGGCAGGGGCCCCCATGGCCCCCCGTGCATGCCCAGCCAGGTACTCGTTCGGTAGCAGGGGCTTCGGAGGCTCCTTCCACCTCACTATCCAGGCCTCCAAGGGATAGATCGGTGGATCACGTATCCTCAGCACCGCACGCGGAATCCCACCAAGGGGTAGATCCCGCGGCGCCGACCGATGTGCAGAGCTCTGTACCGGCCTCTTCCCCCGCGCCGGATGACAAGGTTGCGGCCCACCCCTCTCCGCACCGCAGGAGGACTTCAGGGCTTACCAAGAGCTACTGAAGCGAGTAGCATCGAGCCTCCATCTCCAAGCTGAGGAGATGGAGGGACCCTAAGACTCGCTCTTCAGTGTCCTCTCGCCTTCAGCACCGGGCAGAGTGGCCCTGCCACTGCACGAAGGGGTGGCTAACATTTCCAATGCCCTCTGGCAAACGCCGGCCTCCCTTGCGCCAATATCGAAGAAGGCAGAGTGCAAATATTTTGTTCCCACAAAAGGACACGAGTATCTCTATACCAACCTGGCCCCAACTCCCTAGTGGTGGAGTCTGTAAATCATAGGGAGAGACAGGGTCAACCAGGACCCACACCCAAGAATAAGGACTCTAGAAGGCTGGACTCATTTGGTAGGAAATTTTATTCGTCGTCCAGTTTCCAGCTCTGGGTGGCCAACCACCAAGCCCTCCTCAGCCGTTATGAGTTTAACCTGTGGGGGTCACTGCCTAAATTCGAACCCTCCCTTCCAGACAGTGAAAGGAAGGAATTTAAGGTGCTCATAGAGGAGGGTGCCGCTGCTACGAAGGCTGCTCTGCAGGCAACATCAGATGCAGCTGACACGGCTGCTCGGTCCATGGGCTCGGCGGTGTCCATGCACAGGGCGTTGTGGCTGCTGCTTGGGCTGTCCACGGAAGCGCAGTCCGTGATGCAGGATCTTCCCTTTGATGGCAAGGACCTGTTCGCGGAACAAACAGACGTGAAACTTCATGGCATGAAAGACTCACGTACGACCCTTGAAGCCCTCGGGCTTTACGTCCTGCCCAAGGAAAAGCCTAAGCCACAGGCTCCAGCCCCGGTTCCCCAGCCAAAATATGAGCCCACCTACAAGAGGTCCAAGACCCAAAGGAGGCGACCTCCAAAGGCAATCTTGCTCTGCCCCACAACCTGGGCCCTCAAGGGGCAAGCAGCAGGGCAAGAGGCGCTTTTGACTGGTTGCAGGAGGGTACTCGGGTGTCCCCCGAGGGGACCCTCCTACCAATAAAGTTTGCCTTCAGCAATCGCTTGTGTTCGTCCTTTGCGGAATGGTCCCGAATAACATCGGACCGTTGGGTCCTCAACACCATTTCCCAGGGCTACACGCTACAATTTGTCTCACCCCCGCCTCCCCACCCCCCCCACCCCGGACGGCAGGGGAGACCCGTCACATTTACCCCTGCTAGAGCAGGAAGTGGGTTGGCTCCTCAGCTTGGGAGCTGTGGAGAGATTTCCAAGGGAGTTCCGGGGAAAAGGGTTTTACTCCCGTTACTTCCTTATCCCGAAGGCGAAAGGGGGGCTCAGGCCTATCCTGGATTTACAAGACCTCAATCAGTTCATGGCCAAATGCCAGTTCCGCATGGTCTCTCTGGCATGTATCATACCCGCTCTAGACCCTGGTGATTGGTATGCGGCCCTGGACCTTCAGGACGCATACTTCCATATCCATATATTCGAGGGGCACAGACGCTTCCTTCGTTTCCTTGTGGGACAGGACCACTACCAGTTTACGGTCCTCCCATTTGGCCTGTCCACCGCGCCTAGGGTGTTCACAAAGTGTATGGCGGTAGTGGTTGCCTACCTCAGATGCCGGGGGGTCCAGATATTTCTCTACCTCGACGACTGGCTGCTCAAGGGCAGCTCGCAGTCTCAGGTACAGGACCATGTGGAGCTGCTCTTGGCTATGTGTGCCAACCTAGGCCTCCTAGTA